AAAAAAAAAAAAAAAAAAAAAAACCTAGGGCCTAAGTTGGGAGTGTGTGTGAAATCCAAGATTGCTGCACCAAGCCAAAAACTTGCAAAGGGAACATCCTTGCTTGGTGAACTAGAAAGAAACCTCGCTCCACAGCAAGACTGACTAGATTTGCCTCTCTCGCTGATGGCTCTGGGAAAAGAAAAAAAATCCCCAAAGCAGGAAAGTCTCTCCTGTCTATTCCTTATCACAGAACTGCTTTGTAGCTGATTTAGGGTTATAACCCACATTACCCATATATTTCCCATCCCTCATCTCCTCTCAAAGTACTCAAGCTGAAAACTTAAAGTGATCTGAGTTTGATAATAACATCAGTACTCACACAAAAGAAACTCAACTTCTCCCCAAAGGAATGAACCTTAAAACTCAGGTCTTAAAAATTTTCCAGAGATAAAAAAAATTCCAAGGAATACGGGCTCAATAAACAAGTCATACTGAGTAAGAGTTAAACTAACAGACACAGAATCAGACCCACAAAATACTAATGATTTAGAAATATCAGAGACATAACATAAAATAGGTTTCTTCATATACTTAAAGAAATGAAAGAGGATATTGACTGTATGACAAAGGAAAAAGACATAGAAAAGGACCAGGCAGATAGGAAGAACAAAATTAATCATTGAACTTAGCAAACTCAGTGGGATCAGAAGAAAACCTGAAAGCTAAGTTGGCAGCTGGCACCTGACTCAAAATCAACCCACAGAAAGGAGAGGATCATAAGGGTCTAAGGATGGAACATAACAAATCTAGAACATCTTGGGGAGAATGAAGGCAGTCACAAACTGTGTGTGTGTGTGTGTGTGTGTGGTGTGGTGTGGTACCATGGTTGGGGACAGAGTCTGTGGCAGCCCAGGGTGAAGGATGGCTGCACACAGCAGTGGGAAGACAGGTGGGGGTAGAGTTCCTGCTTTGGCTTCCCCCCAAATTAAGTTTCCCATGGATACAATTTCCATCGTGGGGTGAAGAGGTCATTAAAACACTGTGGGTGCATGTTATGGAATACTAAACAGCAGTTAGAAGAAACATATTAAATATATGTATGTATCTGTGTGTGTGCATGTATGTGTGTGTGTGTATAGTAATATGGACAGATCTTTAAAAACATAGGGCTTAATAAAAAAAGAAGGATCTCATGTATAGAAAAAGCACTTATATAAATTAACCTGCACACAGGTAATATGTTTTATAAAAATACATACTAATAAAAAGATAAGCATCAAACACATCAGAACGTTTATGATGGGGAGGAGTATAATGGTGAAGATAAGGGATAATAAGAGAGAGTAAGTAGATAAAGCCAGAGGGGTCTTGCTTGGACAAATCATAAGTGTGTACCATGAATAAGAAGGATAAGGAGTAGGATTACTCAATCCTCTGAGGTGAAATAAGAAGCAAGAAACAAACTCCATGGATGAGTTAAAGAGCAGATTAGGTACACCGTGAGAGTGAGATCTATACCAATTACCTAGAATATAAATTAGAGCTAGAAAACATGGGGAGAAAAGGTCAAACAACATGGAGTATCGAGTGGGATGCTCTAATACAGACTCTGGGAGAGGTATTATTCTGACATTATGGCTGAGAATTTTTCCCACCTGATAAAAGACACATATTCTCAGACTCAAGAGGCACTGTGACATGCAAGCATGATACAGAAAGACCAAGAACATCAAAGACAAAAAGAACATGTTAACACCATCAGAGAGAAGAGGCAGACTACCCTTTGAATAATTAAACTGACGGAAGGCTAACCTCTTGACAGCAGCAACAGAAGCCTGAAGACTATGCAGTATCTTCAGAGTGCCGTGAGGAAACAGACTTGTGTGCATAGCAAAGTCATCTGTTAAGGATGAGGGCAAAAATAAAGACATTTCCAATCGAGCAAAAATCAGAGTTTAGACCAGCAGAACCTCACTAAGAAATGTGTAGAGCATGTACTTTAAGAAGGAGAATATGAATGCTAGAACATGTATTTACTATTAAGTATTGTACTTTATAATGTTATTTTAAAAATCAATCGCCTTTTTTTTTTAATTTTTTTAACGTTTTTTATTTATTTTTGAGACAGAGAGAGACAGAGCATGACCGGGGGAGGGGCAGAGAGAGAGGAAGACACAGAACCAGAAGCAGGCTCCAACTCTGAACCATCAGCCCAGAGCCTGACGGGGCTCGAACTCACGGACCGTGAGATCGTGACCTGAGCTGAAGTCGGATGCTTAACTGACTGAGCCACCCAGGCGCCCCTCAATCGCCTTTTTAAAAACAATAGCACAATGCTGAAATAGTAGAAGTTCCAATCATGCAATACAAATTAACTGAATTTTATTACCTGCTTTTCCTGATTACACACAGTATCATCATTTATGTCAGGTGCCCAATAATCCCTTGGTACCCTGAAATGAGAAAGCTTTGAATCATGGACACAATGCTGCGTTATGGCATATAAAATTATATTGCATTATGTAATCAATCCAAATAAGCTTCAAGTCCAAAAGATGACGTGTCAAGAACAAATCCTGCTATCGAGTTTTTCAGTTTATATAAATGGAAGCATCTAGGAAAGAGTTCATTGCAATGCTGATATAACCCTTCCAGTTTACAGTGAAACCAAACGCTACCATGTAACGATTTCAACATTTGCTCCTAACAACAGACCTAATACTAATGTCTCGGGCAACTGCTGAATATGCAATAGGTTTTGTGTGTTCTTATACATCTTATCAGTATCTAACTTAACATGAGTGGTCTTACATAACAAGAAATTTTGTTGCATTAAGCCATAGTATACAAAATGATAAAGAACATTTATGGATGATTAAATATTGAAGTGAAGTTGAAGCATTTAATCTACTGCAAAACTCATTTAATGCAAACGTACTCAGGTGCTATAGATATTATTGATATTACACTTGAAGGGAACATTTTCATCCGGTTTACCTCATGAGAATTTAATTTCCTTCTTCTCTGAGAATTTTGCATTTGTTAGACTGTGTCCATTTCTAGCACAAATTTCCAGTTGTACATAAAGTGTGGTTTTACATATTAGAAAAGAACATGAATGACTTAAAAAATCCCACAGTGCCAAATTTATTGCGGTACATTTACTATGACAGGCGAAAATCACAGTATGTAGAAAAACATAAAAAAGCTATTTTGAGTTTATCATTATGCTTATTTTGATGTCCATTTTCATGTCGACATTCTATTTTATTTTATGATAGGTTTTGTGCACACTGGACTGATCACAGATCAAATATAAATTGACACTTCTTAAACAAACAAACAAACAAAGCAATTACATTTGCAGAAATTCAAAACAAATTGATAAGCCAAGGACATTTAGGTTAGTTTTGATAGATTTCTTTTCTTTCTTTTCAGCTTCTTTAAGATTTTACCTTGTACCTAAATAAAACATCAGAGGCTGGATGCTGAATACCAAACAGAAAACGGCTGCAGTTTGCTTCTATAGGTTTATCATCAATTATTTCTAAATCAAAATAAGTTAAAAGTACAACCAACAATTGCTTTATTTCAATAATTGCCAAAAATCGGCCTGGACATTTGCTGGCTCCAGTTCCAAATGGCATTAGGTAACACTTCAGTTTTTTTCCTTTTTTGAAAAAGGTGGTTTTCTTCTTACCATCTTCTACAAAACGATTAAATCTGAACTCCTGTAAAGAAGAAATAAGGAGTATGAAAATTAAACATTTACATGAAATAGTTTGACCTCCGTTCCACAAAGTTGCCAGCTCTCTCTGCCCTTCTTACAAGGCCTCTCTGCATCCAGCAAATGCCAGAAAGCAAAGCGTGACCAAGTGCAAATCATGTATGAACTTTCAAAAATCTCAAATGCTGCTAGGGAATTACTTCTCCTTTATCATAGTGAAATGCACACACTGATAGGACTTTTCTTCCTAATTCGTATTTCTCTCTTAGGAAATACATACATTTAGGAAACTCAGTGTAGAGGTCATCTCTTAGTTTTTGTTCTCTAAGATGGGTTCTGACTGATGGGCCCTTGGTGGACTGATGTTCGGTACAAGGTAAGGGCTCCTGCACTGGCCACCACTGTTACTCTGGAATAATGTCTCTTATTGGCCACAGGAGCTGCCTAATATGCTTTCTCCACTCCTTCCCAGTTAGCTACTGACGGACGAGGGCTGTGAGCTTAGGATCGAGTGCTTATGTCTGGATTAAATGGACATAAAATGAAATGTGAAATCTATATAAGGCACTAGAGAGGAACTAAGCCACAAAATTGGTCTTGCTTGTTTTTGGATGTTGTACTGAATTTCTCTTATCACACTTCTATTACAATGGACTCTCTCTGGGTTAACTCTAGGGTTGTAGGTATTTCTGATATGTTTTCATACAGAAGTTACATTACTTGTCACAGAAAATTGTAGGCCTGGTTTATCTATGGTGTTTAGCCTGGCATTAATTTACTCTCGCTTGAGTTTCTGAGAGGAAACTGAGTGACCTTATTCCAGCCCATGGCAAATTAAGCCATTGATTAAATTACAGCACGTGGCATGCATGAAAACGACCAAGTATTTCCTATACTTGGTGTTCATTAGCATTAGACCTGCTCAGCACACAACTTTGATATGAACTATATGAAGTCAGAGGTAAAGCAGCAGGTCAGATTGAAAGCATTTCACATTGCAGTGAAAACCCTACAATATGTGGATGGATTCTGAATCCATCACAAATCATCTAATTTTCTCACTCAATATTAATGTCATCAAAATAATTTCTTTTAAAAGTACTGGGTTTGTCCTTACTCACCTAGATACCTTTTGTGATAAATGCTCAATCTTAGAAAACACACTTTGGGTGGTTTCAATCCCCTTTCAACTTGCAAGCTGATGCAATCACAATGGCAAAATTAATCTGCATTACAACACAAGTATTCCTGGCCCCCCTAGACAGTTCTCGGATGTATCTGAATAGGATCTAACCAGAGCTGAGCTAAAAATATGTGTGCATCCTTGTATTAATGACCAAGGACACTCTTGTTGACATGCATTTTGTTCCTGGAGGAAGAGTTACAATATGGTACTCTCTCCCGATGACTTTTTCCATTACTGGCACCCAAGCCTGCTTGCCTGAGTTTAGGACTGCTGCTTCTTCCTTCTCACTGACCAATCTGAGGAGAGAACCCTCCACAAGAGCTTCTCACATAGCCAAGTCAGTTCAAGTTAATTTACTCATGAGATGATTTGTTGGAAAAGGTCTCACTGCACATGCACTGTCTAAGGCAGGAAATACAAAAGGAACACTTAGCTTGGGTTACAACTTCATAGTGTCCTGATTATATAAATAAGCCAATAATTGCTTTACTTCATGGCTGTTCTGTTCTTCCTTGTGAAAGTGAATGTGCTCCTCTCCGAGAGGCCAGAGGGGCAAACATATAATGTGCTGCCCAGCCCTGTGACCTGCAGGTGGTGTTCACATTCAATTCCCTCAAATTTCTAGTCAATCAGCAATGATACTCTTCTAGTTTTCTACCACCTTCTATTAAATTTCCTTATAATAAACATCATAGGAATTCTTACTTAGTTGTTTATATTATTAAACAAGAAGAGAAAAGGCCAACTTCTGTTGTTCTGTTACTACCACCAAGCTCAAAGGACACATGGGCATAGGTATATTTTTGAGTTAAAATTTATTTTCAGTTTGTTTTCCATCATCAGGGCATGGGGAACTAGAGCAGAAACCAATATTAGGAAAGGCCCATAGCAGATACTAGAGAGATGGTCTGGTTTTTACCAAAACGAGAAGGGGTGTAATAGTCTCACCTGTAATATTCTGGGGTCACAGTGACAAAGAACAAAGTGTGAAGAACTCAAGATACACACATTCATTTGGAACAACTTAAAATACAGGATTCATCATGTTGACTTAAACTCTTTGCAGTAACCATAATAGGTCAGCACTTCACAACTAAAGAAGGTTAATTAAATGCAATAATAATTAAGTGGATGAGAATAGCGAAATCATTTTTAAAAAGGTATGACACTGTAATTCCCCTTACTTCTCTAATCATTCTATGGTTGACTTCTGAACATCTTTCTTCTGCTGAGGTTTGTCTAGGCATCCATCATGGTAATCACATGGCTGTGGCCACTGACAGATTTAGGATAGGGTGTGTGGACAAGTGCTACAGGGGTAACAACTGTGAGGACATCTGATAGAAGTTCCTTTCTTGTGAAGAAAAAAAAAACCAAATGTTTAATCACCGCTTCCCTTCTGGACCCACCTATATGTGAATACTTATAACTGCTGTGGCCACCAGGCTGAAGATGGAGCTAACCCACAGGAATGGTAGAGCCAAGAAATCTCAAGAGATTGGAGTTGTTATGCTGTCTTATTGATCTCTGTATTTTCAAAGTACCCAACATAGTGTTATGCACATAGTAGAGGTTCCATATATGTTTGTTGAATTAATGAATAAATACATGATTAAAGTATATTTTAAAATCAATCTTCAAGCTTTTGAAGAAAACACAGATATTGAAAGAGTAAATAAACATGTAGAGAATGAAGCATAGATGAATATTCAGCGTTCACAAATAGAGAATGGTATAATAGCACTAGAAATCAATAATGGATAGACGATACAATTTTCTAGACAGAAAACAGTTTTGGTGCAAGTGACTGAGGACCATTGAACTCCCTCATTTGTATTCTCCAAATATTGTGTTCAGTTGAGTTTAAGAGATTTTTTTGAGCACTTCCCCGTATGTGAAACATTGAAGTTGAAAATAAAATGTAGTCTTGTTGAGGTAGGTGACATACAATACAATCAGATTTTGTATTCACTCAATCATTTTGGGTATAGGAATTCAGATTAGAGAAAAGATATGATTTCTTAAAATAAAAACTGTCAGTGCTTTGAGTGGATGACTAAGGGCCTGGACTCTTGCCCCAGCTTCACAGTCAGTACTCCTGGGAGCAAGACGACAGAGTTCTTTTTATCCCCATAACTTGGGTTCCAATTAATTTATACTAGGTTGAGAGAGTGTGCATATCTCTTCCCAGCTTTGTGTTTAGGGTCTTCATATTAGCAACGTGGAATCAGCCATGTGGGAGTATTTGTATCGCAATAATTGACAAAATTAGGGCTTTTCAGAGTGCCGTGCTGGCAGCACACCCTGGTTCCAACACAGTAGGTATGAAGGCCAATGTACTGGTATGGCAGAAACCCTCTCAACATGAGGCACCTAGCTCTGAGAACACAGCCATATGATAAGGCCAATTCCCTACACTCTGCGCTCTTAAAGAGAAGAGGCTTTTAAATTTCTCGGTCACTCATTACTCCCATCGCAGTGCTTTTGGCATCACACATGCTCAGTATACATGTGTTTCCTTGAAGTATATGGATGGCATCATCTCTATACCAACGTGAGATACAGACAAAATATTAGAGTACGTCTTCATCTGTTATGGCCAGTATATTTGTAGAATAATGACAATAATCAGAATAATCAATACAACAGTTTTAATAGTGATTCAGAATTTATACAAGGGCTTTCAAATTCGTTTATCACTTTATAATCCCTACACCTCTGAGAATGAGGTCAAATAAGGTCTTTCAGCCTCAGAGCTTTGGGTGTGCTCCAATGGCTTTGTAATTACTTTGTTTTTCTTCACTGTTACCTTACTTTAGGAGGCGACGTGGTTGCGATAAAGTGTTACTACTACCTTAAGTGTTTGCTGTTTCTTCCCTATCACTCAGTTGTGTCCCCAGGCTTCCTTTTGTACCTCACCACCTCTGGCCACAAAAAAAAACAACCAACAGACTTGCTCCAATAAACTAAGCAAACCAATATTCAGGAAAAGAATAATTCTTCACACAGAAGTTACACATTGGTAGCTTGTAGACCCAGTTAGGTACCAAACACTTTTTGTTTAGTCCATGTTGTGTTTTTAAACATTATTTTTCCAAACATTTAAAAATTCTTAACTTTACCCAAAAGTCTATTTTCTGAGTTTAAAAAAAAAATTATTACTTTTTTAAAGGCCTCAGCCATGCCAGGTCTACATGCTTGTAAGAGCTGAATGTTAGCTCAGAAGTAGACAAATGGTTTTATTTAGATGCCTCTTGGGATCTCCATTCTCCATAGTTCTTACCAGCCCTGATAGTCTTGCTACATTTATACACAAGACACCGCATCCATTTGTTCTAGTTAGATGCATATTTGAATATGTAATGTTGATTCTGATTTAATATTTTAACTTAAGTATGTTTTCTCTTTCAGAATATTCATCCATCCCAGCATCCCCTTATTTATTCACCCTGTGGACACCCTCATGTGCAAGGTACTGAGAATGCACAGAAGGCAATGATGTGGTCTTTCCCCTTCTGGAGCTTACAGCATATGGGAGCACAGACAAATAAACAAGTAATTGGAAAGCAGCAGGTGGTATGCACTGTAACAAAGTACAACAGACCCCACAGTGGGCAATGGCAAATTCCCCGAGGAATGAGGTGGGAATCAGGAACACTGCCAAAGAAGAGGTGATTAAGGGTGATTCTTGTGGAGTAATCTGGAACCTCTTGAGTGGACAAGTAAGGAGGAACATTCCAGGAGTAGAGAGGTCTATGAAGGAAGACAATGGACTGTTGTTGGAATGTAATATTCTCGAGTCTCTTGGGCTTGAACATCCTGAAACCATGCCTCATTGGGTAGGAAAACCTATGCTCTGCTAAGACTCTTCAGTCTCTGTGTCCTCCAAAAATAACTATACTTATATTTGGAGCGAGTCTTCTTCAAGTTTCTGGCCCAACAGCTATTGTCTGTTTTCTATATCTAAGGCCGGGTCTTCCCATTCAAGATCTACAGGGCACAAAAGGCAGTAAGGAATATGAGCCTCTGAAGAGCTTCTGGGCCAGTGCTCTTAGTGACAAATGGCCAGGGACAGAATTTCCCAGGATTTTCTTCTCTTTTTTTACTGTCAGTGGAAGGTAGTTTCATACGAATATCTGTTCTATGAGCATCTACAGCATCTCTTACTGTCATTCTAAGTTGATAAAAATGACAGGAATAAATCTATATGCCTGACAGTGGTAGGTGCTCAATGTTTACAGAATGAATGATTAAGACCTTGCCGAATAATATAAAAATGGTTCTGAACCATACATTTTTCTGTGTCAATAATGACCAGCATTCCACAACTAATTTCAAGAAAATAATGTTCGCAAAAAAAAAAAAAAAAAAATAGCTAGTTAATGGTGGTAATTTGGTAAACATTTATTATTTGTTAATAACTTTAATGTTGATTTTATTATCATGATATGAATGGTAAACTTAATGACTAGTAGAATAGTCACATAACGAATATAATAAACACAATTTAAATAAAGAAAAGAAACTACAGACAGAAACAAAATTTAAAAATATTTTTCAGAGATTAGTTATTTTTTGCCCTATTTACTGAATATCTATGTGTTGATATTCTTTTTTTGATATTTACACATGTGGAGACAAAGCTAGTTGTCTGCAGAATGTTCACTCACTCACTAATACCCTACTTCTGATTTGCTATCACCATTTATATATTGCCTCTTCTTCCGAAACACATAGAAATCATATGCACACTTTCCCTCTCACTTAAAAAATTTTGCCTTTGCTGATTAAATAGATGCACTTTTTGCATTGTAGTTGGAGTCTATCCTCTTACTAATTTCCAAAACTCAACAATACTTTAATCTAGCCTGGCTGCAAAACCTCTAACTTAGAAACTGGGTTTTAAAGTGGTCCAGCTATAAACTGCCCAAAAAGAGCACAGAAGTTCACCTTTCAAAAATAGTACTTTATATACAAAAACCACTATGGCAACACCATTACTTCATGAGACACAGGCAGAATATGACTGCATTCAATTTGCATGCAGGTGGTGAACCTCTGAAGTGGTATTAAGGGATGAGCCAGGGTGGATTAATTTCCAGTCTTTGATATTCATTAACTCCAGCTTCAGAAAAAAATACAAGGAGATGACACAATTACCCTCAGAGCTTCACCCGTGAGCAGCAGCTTTACAATCTGAAGTTCGTAATGCCATCCTGATTTATCAAAAAGGGGCACATACCTTTGGTAAGAGGTGAAAAAGTATATGGGCTTAACTATGGCAGTGATGGTATTTGATTCTGGGACAGTCACCCCATTCTGGAAACACTTAGCAAAACAGTCATTATCATTTATTCTCTAAGCCACCTGTCAACAGTTAGCCCTCTATGGTTTTCAATAATTCTCTGCCAAGCAAAACATATTTTTTTGGCCTACAGGTAACGATAGGCAAGGTACCATGCCTATTTTGTTTGAAGAAGGTAGCATTTAGTCTCATCATTCTATTTCTATTTGTAGATCACAAAACCTTTGAAAGAGAGATACTTAGGAAACACTTCAGTAAACAGGAAAATTTTCCCACTGGAAGAAGAAAAGAAGTCATCAATCCATCTCAAATTCCTTCTGGGACAAGGTGGAAGAAGCAAGCTACAGAAAGAGAGTATGAGGGCCCCTCCACTGCACTTTCCCAGGTAGAACAAGGTATAGAAGGTGGCAGGAAGAGGAAGAGGAATGTGCTTGCAGTTATCTAAGAAGTAGCAATGATGCGTGTTTACCTCTGGAGCTTCAAAGATTTCCGGGTCATAGTGTAAGGCTGGAGGAAAGATGGCGACCAAGTCCCCCTTTCGCAGACAGTAGTCCTGCGGCTCTGAATGTATAGTTAAATCATCTTGAACAAAACGGAAGATGCTTGAGAATGAGCATAGTCGTAAAACCTCGAGAATGGTGCTTTCTGAAGGACACAAGCAAGCAACAGCTTATTAAAATACAACTGCTCCTGAACAGTGCACTCAATTGCCATTAAGCTCATTACCAATAGCTTTGATTGAAAACAAAGTCCTTTCGTAATCAGATCTGTTGAGCACCAAGAGGTAGCCATGGTGGCCTTCCATGGCCAGAGTGAGGAAGAGGCAGGGGAGTTAGCTGTGACCTGGCCCTAATCACAGAAGGCAACAGTGGTGTACTTGGGCAGAGAGCCATTAACTAGGCTTTTTGTAGGAAGGAAAGGTTTGTAAGAGAGGAATGCTGTGTTATAGGTATATCCTTTGGACATTAAAACCATATCCCCATTCAAGTATGGTGCTGGTGGGTTATTTCACCAACCTTTAGAACAGCTACCTCTTTAAAACCAGGCTTGGACAGTTAACAACCACTTAGGCAGTTCATAGTAAAGTAATTGTAGTAGTGCTTTCTGCAATGGCTTAACACTTAATATCTTTTATACTAGCTGTAAATAAAATGTGGGTCAGCATTTGTTGGAAAAATTTCAAAGTAAAAAGACTTTTATAGGATTCAGAAGAAACCGTATTTCCCTCAGCATCCAGGGAAAATAACAGTCACCATCCTAACCTGGAAGATTCCAGAAGCTGAATGTCCTTGCTTTCCCAGTGGCCTTCACCTTTTGCTCCTAGCACGACAGATTTTATGGCTAATTTCCGGCAATTTATCCTGGCAGTTTGAGGAGGAATTCCTTTGGGAATAATATGCATAATTTGCATAAATCATTCTGATAGCATGCATATCAGCATGTAGCTCCTGTCTAGGTCTGCATCTCTGCCTTCATAATCAAAACTGACTATGTTTTCACCAGCGTGAATGGGTCCTAGAATATAAAGCTTGATTCTTTCTAATCAGCAATGTGAAAAAGAGCTCCAAATTGAGCATTTGTCCCCTTTCACATGGTAACAAATGGTTGTGTTTATGGTTTGCAATTTAGAATCACACACACACACACACACACACACATACATACACACACACACACATCCCAATTTCTCAGTGTTCAACAAAGCTCTGAAACATAGAGTACTCAGTTATGAGATTATAGCAATGCACTGGTCAGTGAGGGCTTGCATCTGCTAAAAAATAAAAATAAATGCTATTTCACTAAAACTTAAATCTACACACAGTTTGCACAAGGATATCAAGTAGCTTTGGGTGCCTTCTCCCAGGATGTTTTTCCCTAAGCATGCATTTGTCTGAAGAAATGAGGCTGCGGTCAGCTCTGTGTGGCCAGTGTGGTGATTCAATGTGACATACAGTGAGGCAGTGCATATTCTTTTGGACTGCCTTCGTTATTATAATCAGGCAGAGTCAAATCGGTTTGTTGGTGATGAGGCCAGAAAAGAACTTTGGTTTTGGAACATGGACTCTACCACAGATAGCCACAAGGCACCTGACACGACGGATTTCAGCCGGCAGGACACCACTGACCAACATTTCTGTGCTGAAAAGCAAGGGTCGGCTTCCCATGTACTGCTGCTGGCTCCATTGGCTCAAGAGCAGAGTAGCATCATTTTGGCTTGTGGTGTGAAATGGTAGCTGACATATGTAGCAGTGAGGTTCACCCAACAAGTCCAGTAGGGGTGTGGGAAGAAGAAAGACAAAAGCAAAAATAATTGTGGGGCGGCTCTGTGACAGGGCAGGCATTTACCAGTCCAAACGACACGGTCACATCCGATTGGCCGACGTGCTCGAGGGAAGCATGGCAGCTTGCGCCCACTGCAGTATCACAAATGACAATTGGGCAAGCATATCTTATGCAGAAGTTAATCACAATAATGGAGCACAAAGTGTGGCTTAGCGGTCAGATCGTAAATGACAAATCTGTTTTACCTTCCAGTACCAGTTATGTGCGCAAGACGAGGTTGGCCATCGCTCTGAGCGATCATGCTGATAATCATTAGATGACAAAAGTAATGAGTTGCATTATTATCAACAATGGAGAGGAGAGCTTCCGTGGCTCTGTGTCACAACACACAGACACAAAAGCCAGCAGCTTTCCCACCAGCCCCCGTAAGAATGCAGGCAGAGCTATATGTTGAGAAGAATGACAACTGCACAATAAAAAAAATTGCAGCCTTGACTTGTAGTTGTCATAGTTGAGCAGACACCAGCCAGTGCCACTGACGGACCAGCTGGGCCCTGGGAGGACTTCCATGCTGCACCAGGAGGTACAGTAAATTATCCTGCACGGTAGAGCAACATCTGTTTCTGTGCTAGTGCCGAACAAACAAGGCAATTTAAAACATACCAAGGGATAACCAAGCAACAAATGAACATGACCCTCATTTTTTCCCTCCTTCTCACACACGAGGTGTTAAACTTCATTGTGCAAGCACTCCACGAAAGAGAGGCCAGGTTGGTATTTGATAAGGTGTTGTCAGAGAGATTTTGCAGATTTCCAAAATGGAAAGAAAAAGCTTATAGTATTGTTATTCTTAGAATCTTCCTTCCCCCCTTCTATCGTCATTTCTTTTATACCAAAGCTAGCACTCAGTTCTCAATTCGCTCTAGAATTAAAAAAAAAAAAAAACTTTCCATATACTTATAAATATTCAGTCTTTAAACCTAATTTGCTATACTTAGTTCACATGCCTTCAAGCATTTGTCTTCCAATTTCCACTGAATAAATGCGTACTAATGAGAAGTAGAGCAAGCTGCTGAGGCAAAGCTGGGTGACTTGGGTCTGGCCTGCCACCAGCTTGTGATCGGCGGGCAAATTGAGTTAAAATGAAAAGTCTTGTCAGCTGAAATTCAACATGGTAGCCAAACAGCAAGCTGTCAATCATCCAGCCAAAACAAGGGACTGTAGGTAATAAAAGGTCATTGTGATCATTAGTGCACTTGGCTTTCGTACGCAAGTTAATTTTAATTAAACATGATCTCTATCTGTAAATGTTTTATAAAACTTATTGTGCATAATGGATTGTTAATTTATACTAACATTTAGCAGGTAATAGGACCCTCTACTTCTGAAATGCATTGTGGAGAAATGGCTATCGAGAATGCAAATATTTTGGGGATAATTTACACCAGGCACCACAAGGTGCCAACGATTCGATTGTGATTAAGATAAGGCTGCCTGTGTTTTATTAAGAACTGAGCTTTACTGACCAGTTCACGCCACGAAATTGGATTACAGAATTCCCACCATGAACTTACAGTGCAGAGCCTGAACCACCTCCTTCACCTGGCTAGGAGAGATTTGTTTCTCTTTTCAGGAGCTAAAAATATTCTGATTAAGTATCCCTCCTAAGCAGAAGCTGGGGAATGTGTTGAGCTAAGATGCTTTACCACGTAACTGTGAAGGAAAATGGCAAATGAGAGGAACTGCTGGTAGGAAGAGGCATATACACTTTCTCTTTTGCCCTCAGATCTCAATCCTGGCTGTAATAATTGACAGATGATTCTCATTTGCAGATTTAAAGTGCTGAAGCAGCTCATGACAATCAATAATGCATGTAACGATGCAAACACAAATAAGCACATCCAAGTTTCTGCCTCACACTTAGGCCATGTCTGTATATGTGGAATGAATGTACTGTGACATGGCCAGGCTGTTAATTTGGGTCATCTTAATGATCGGTGCAGACTGTCACACAGTCTGATTAGCCATGGTGATCCGTGGATAGCAGTGATGGCTGGAGTGAAATGGACAGCCAGCCCTGCCACAGTCCACTGGGGCTGAACACTTGGGCAGTCTTACAAAGGTGTGTGAGAAGGGGGGACAGGAGGATCTGCAGGCAGTGTTCCGGAAGGTATGAAGAAATGGAGTGAGGCTCCAGGTGTGCGTGTGTGTGTGTGTGTGTGTGTGTGTGTGTGTGTGTCCATTTTACATAACTGCCTTCAAGACAGGTAAGAAGGTAAATTAGAAATTGCAATAATCAGATAACTTGAAGCAGATAGCTAATTTTGGGCTCAACAACTGTTTAATATATTTTAAATTTTTTTTAATGTTTATGTATTTTTGAGACAGAGAGGGACACAGCATGAGCAGGGAAGGGGCAGAGAGGGAGACACAGAATGTGAAGCAGGCTCCAGGCTCTGAGCTGTCAGCACAGAGCCCGACGCGGGGCTCAAACTCATGAACTGCGAGATCGTGACCTGAGCCGAAGTCGGTCGCCCAACTGACTGAGCCACCCAGGCGCCCCTGTTTAATATATTTTAAATCAAGTTAGCAGTACGTCTGAATTGGTACAAATGTCTACTTTCACTCTGCACTGAAGACACAACATTTGGTTTTCTGCTAAAATGTGGAAATGTAAATTCAACATTCATTTGTTCAATAAATGTTTATGAAGGTCCTACTCTGCTCAGGGCAGTGGACCACTGCTGCCAGGAAAAAAAAAAGGAAACACGGTTTTCTTGGCCTTCATGGTTTGGCCTTCATGGACACTGCAATCTGGGTAGTTCAAAGTTGGGAAGTGCATATAAACAGGAATGTGGGGCAAGATTCTAGAGAAGATTCTGCACAATTTCTGAGTAGACACCTCTAAAGATGGCATTCATAAAGTCCTGGAAAGATAAAGGCAAA